TTGATGTTTATGTTCCTCGTTCAGTGTCCACCATTTTGAACTCCACATTAACCCAGAACCTTTGGCCAGAATTACTTCATATGAAGTCTTCCTCTTGGCTGCCTCTAACATTTGGCTACACACAGTAGCTAGTTTAAACTCCGCTCTCTCTTACCCCTCCCTGACGATAATTACTACCTCCTTCATGATTGTTTAGACTTAACAGAACAGCTTTTATCTCCCAGAAGTGATTTACAGGAAACTCCTCTTGCTAACCCAGACTTAATTTTATTTGTGGATGGGTCATACTTAAGACCTGACGTTACCAGTTCTTTTTACCAAAGAGGATACGCTATTACCACCACCACTGAAGTCTTTGAAAGCAGTATCCTTCCTGAAGTCACTCTGGCCCAATAAGCTGAACTGAATGCATTCATGAGGGCTTGCAAAGCGGCTGCCAGATGTTAGGTAACTATTTACACTGACTTTAGGTATGTCTTCGGAGTAGTCCATGATTTTAGGATGTTTTTGTGGGGGAAAAAAGGGAGTTCCTGACTTCTGTAACCCAAATTAAAAATGGCCCCTTAGTGGCAGGCATCCTAGAAGCTCTTTTGCTTTCGTATGAGGTTGCTGTAATTAAAATATAAGCCTATCAGCCTAAAAGAATGCCCCAAACAGAAGAAATTAGAGGGAACAAATTGACTAACAGAGCAGCCAAACAAGCTGCTTCCCAAATTCTCATTTCCCTCGTGATCAAACACGAGGAGGATAAAAAGGAGGGAAATGAATTTACTCATGATAACCTTAACCTGCATGCGGCTTTAGCACTGCTTTTCAAATACTAATATTGGGCCCCTAAGGATGAAATCAAAATATGGAAAAATAATGGATGTTCTAAGAATTTGATAACTAACCTATGGACAGGGCCTAATGGAAAAATTGTTTTACCCAAACTCCTGCCTTCAGGGCCCATGTTTGAATGGCAAATTGATTTTATTCAGTTTCCACCTTCAAATGGCTATAAATTTGTCCTTGTTATGATTTGTACACTTTCACACTGGGTAGATGCTTTTACTTTTGGCCAAGGTACTGCCACTTTCGTTGCTAACAAGCTTCTTGAAAATATCATCCCCACATGAGGAGTCCCAAAAATTCTTTTCAGTGACCAAGGAACTCATTTAAATAGACCTACTACATGTTTTTACTCTTTGACACTTTTCTTTATTTTTCTCTTTCTCCTCCTTCTTCATTCTTAACAAATCTGTATTTTCTAATTTTTTGTGCAATCAGCATGTTACCTATGCAATTTTTAAAAATTTGAGATTAATTATGAGCATTTTCCCCTGTTGAATGTCCTCTAAAGTAAGACTGTAGTATATTTAAAATTTTGATTACATAAAACAGATATCTCATATTGTCAAAATAATCAAAACCCAAAAAGAGTTAAAGCTATATATAAGGAGACTTTTTGGTTCAGAAAAACAGGAGAGCCTGTTGTAGGCTAGTTACAGTGAGCTTTTAAGGAGAAAAGAGAGATAATACAAAGTAGAAAATTAACCACTTGTCTAACCATGTCCCCTCAATATCTCAATTACTCAGGAAACTCCAAAAGTTTAGAGTTTTGTCTCAGGAAACAAGGGCTAAAACCAGATTACTTTGGGTAAAGTTAAATTCTTTGCACAAGGTAAACTTCTGGCAGCCCATGGTATATTCAGTATTCTTTGCTAACACCATAATTCAAATGTATCAATTCTTTATTAATTGTCCAGCTTTCGCATGCATACGAGGCCCTTGAAAATACCATGACTTGGTCAGGCACGACTTAGTCCTCAAAGTGACGTCTTTTGCTTTTTAACACTTTAAAAAGGTCTTTTGCACCCCCAGACACCTTTTTAGCTCAGTGGTGAAGTTACCTCCGAGGTTCATTGTTCAGCCTGGGAGTGGACAGCCCCGTAAAACCAAATGAGACTAACGAGGTACAGGAGTCCAGTGACAAGGGCCAGAAAGCAGAAGGGG